GACGTGTGCTCTTCCGATCTATCAACAATCTAAATTTACTCGATTTCAGAGCATTGTGCTCCATGTTATCCTATTGACGAGTATTATATTTCAGGTAAAGCTAAATTTTAAAGCTAGGCTACAATAACATTATTATAAAATGAATTATTATAGCAATCTTTCAACAGCATCGATAATTACGTAATTTTAATATAGAATATATCGTATCGTTATTACTAATTATACTTATGTATGATACTAAATAAAATTATATATTTGCAGCTAACACCATTAATTACATTTAAACGTACTTTGGACCTTGTTATCAAAGTACTGTCTTCCGTATCTTTCGGTGTAATGTTAATAGTACAGTATAACGCAATTTATCTTAACATTGAAGTTGTAAGTTGTCTTACGGATTATTAAATCAAACGACGCGATAGAATCGTGCCAAGTGCATATATGAAAGGAATAATTGCCTATGTGACAAACATGCAACATCTTGGCGCTACTAGAGATCGTCTAATCGGAATTTGGTCAAAGGGGATAAATTTTTTGATTGATAATAATTCATTTGATATATTTCTCGGATATATTCGTTTTGGATATATACGTTTTTGGAAAATGAGAGAGCAAAGAATAGAAAGATACAAATAGCAAAAAAGAAAGAAAGCAAATGTCTGTAATCTCATTCTATATATGCCATTTTTATTCACTTCAGTCAAATTAGAGGATCTCCAGATCGCTACCAAGAGTACCAAGTAGCTTATCTGGAATTTCATATTAAATAAACTTTTAATTACAATAAAATATCTCAGGATCTAACCTTGTAATCACAATCTAAGAACAATTTTATAATAGTAATTCTAACTTTGTATTTTTTAGAGTTAAATATGTCGATACTATTTGGCTAATTAGATTTATCTCATCCATTTCGGGACACTTATTTTTTTTTTTAACATTACACTTTTGAATTTTTTTGTGTTTGTAAGATCTTTTTTATGTTAACCTGTCTGCCGAAGAAAGTATAACAAAAATTATCTTTTAATTTATACAAAGACAGTATAGAAAGTTAATAAAATGACAGGTAAAGAATTTACTTATGCGGCTTGAGCATATACATAATAGATTAAAGGATAAAAACGAAATCGCTATTGTATACAGATATAACTGTATTGCTAAACGTTATACAGTTGTGCTAATAGGTAAAATAATATTTTGTTAATTTTACGTGTAATTATATTTTTAATTTAATATCTTAACTGCCAAACAAAAAGAAAAAATCAGTTTTATCATAATGATCATAATTTTATATGTTTATATGCTTGTACATATGATTTATTATAAGGATCTATTAAAGTACTTGTCACGTGCATTTATGCTGAATGATATGTGTATTTAATAATTAAAGAAAGTAGATAAATAAACATCAATTTTAAAATAAAATTCAATTCTATTAAAAAATATTTCAGCTAATATACCGATGGAGGAGCCCCTTCCAATAATCTTGATCTTAATGTATATTGGCAAGGTCATGACCCTGAGTGACCTTAAAAAGATTTTAATCATCACTCGTTATCCGTTAAGAAATTATTAATAAAAAAAGTTTCAGAAAAACGAAATTTGTGTTAAATGGAACATTGGATTGGGTTGATTGAGGTTGGAACGATTATGGCGAAGTCCACCCTACATCCCCTCTTATTCGTGGGGCGAAATGAGGTTCACAATTGTTCTGTTTCACATGAGTTTGCGACTTTTCACGCGAGGCGAGATCCACCCACATCCTTCTCCTGCTTACGGGACGAAACGGCGTCCACAATTGTTCCGTTTCACATGGATTTGTGACTTTTCACGCAAGGCGAGATCCACTCCAAATCCCCACCTGATTAAGGAGCAAAACGAGATGTACATAATTGTTCTGTTCTACATAAATTTGCGAGGTGAGGTCCACTCCACATTCTCCGCCTTTCTCCTGTACACGCATGTTTTTTTCCATGCAATATAATCTCTCATACCATGCGAAGTATGGATCGATGTAATTTTTACAATTTTTTTGTGATTATATCTTTTTAACGGATAACGACCGATAATAAATTCTTTTGAAAATCATTCAAAGTCATGAATTTGGCAATATATGTCAAAATCATGGTCATTGAAGGGAGCTCTCCTATTGCATCGGCATGTTTATCAAAAATTATTTCATACTATATGTGTGTACGATGTACAATACATAAAACAATTTTAAATACACAGAATTTAAATAATCAATTTTCTACTGCTTTTTAGCACTTGGAATTTGTGGAAATTTTATTATAGCACAAATTTGGCTTATAATTGGGATTGATGTATCAATGAACGCGTCTAAACCACATTATTTCATCGGTACAGCAGTCGAGTATTTCGTCGATCAAGAAAAGTATTTCTATTTAATTTTGTTACACATATACGCAGAATTATGCGCTGGAACGATTATAATGTTAGGAACAGCTGCAATGTTTATTACCTATCTTGAGCATGTCTGTGGAATATTTAGAATTGCTAGGTAGGAGTATGGACATATAAACATAATAATTTTAATATTTGTTATCTTTATACAACGCATTATCTTAAAAAAAGTTTGTGTGGAGATGTGTTTTATCAAAAATTTGTATTCATAAATGAATTTCAGTAATTAAAATACATTTATAGTTATCGTATCGAGCAAGCATTAAATATCGATATTTTTCGAAATATTACAATAAAAAATAAGGTTTTGATGACAAAGGGCATAGCTTGTGCAGTAGACATTCATCGTCAAGCAATGAAGTTTGTATCTGTATCGTCAAACAATGAAGTTTGTGCAATACATTTATTAATGTATTTTAATATATTTTTCTTTTTGAAGATTGTCCAAGCGTTTGACGTCCATATTCGAGACAGTAGTATTTTGTTTCATAGGATGTTTAGTACTTTGCTGTAGCCTCAATCTGTTTCAAGTAAGTTTCTGGTTTCGTGTAACAGTATGAGAGTTCCATCAAAATTATGTATTAATAATTTTATAAATGCGTTCTAAAGAATCGAGAAATACAGGTTGTCCCTTAAATACATTGTCACATACTCAATTGTATGGTTTATTTCAAGCCAAAAAAATTCATATAAACATATGTCCTAAGTTTAGTTTTCAAAATATAGAGTGTTTTAAAAAATATATTATTACTACAAACATTAATATTAATATCATTAGAAATTTAGACTGATTATTACTACAGGTTTAAATTAAAAAAAAAAACACAAGATTTCGGAAATTAAGCTGCTTAGGACACATATTTATATGCATTTTTTTTTACTTGAAATAAACCAAAGAATTGCCCTCTTGAGTATGACCAGGTGTTTCATTTACATACATGTCAATATGATGAATTGCTTTTTTTTTGTAGGCGCGCAAGGCCGTTCACAATTGCGTAGACTACGGCGGCACAGACAATGACACATTTGCCGCCGAAGTGTTCGCAATTGTGAACGACTTTGCGCGTCTGCACGAATAGGTAAACCATCATATTGATACCTATATGTAAGTAAAACACCTGGTATTTAAGAAACAACCTGTATATGCTACACATATAAATTTTCAAAATAAAAGTTAATAAATAATATACAAACGAGAAGTGTAACACTGTAAATATGTAGGGGAGAACGGGACTATTCGGAACCCGGGGCAACTC